GACAATTCCCATTCATCATTTATATTATATTAATGATATTTTATCAGACATTTCTTGCTTTGACATTAGCAATTATTCAGAAACACTGAATGAAACTGTCACTTTTACAAGGTAAAATAGTACGAAACTTTAAATTGGCCATAATGCTTACATACTACAAATACCAAATATCAAATACTTTACATTTTCCTTTTCAATCTAATCTCATTTACACTTTGAATGAAAATTCAATAATTCAATAAATCAATTTAAAAAAGAAAAGGAAAAAAATTAAAATTAATGAAAACAAAATGTGCGCATAATGCTTCTAAGTAAGTAATATTTGCGGTATGCCTCAAAATATGCATATTTTATTCTCATTTCTGTCACATTACCGTTCGTGTTTATAAGTTACTCTATAATGATAATTTTCATGATTTATGAGAACTTACCCATGAAATTTTTGCTATTTCAATATTCCTCAAAATAAGCAGTGTAGTAGTACTTGAGGATTGCTGATAGGAAGTATCGATATATTTTTCACTGCATGACTATATTTTAGTGATATGACCAGCCAAGTTAGGCATATTGTGAAACAAATTCGTTTTTACAGATGTTCGTGATTGAACCGCTACAAAACGCTATTATCAATGCTAACTTTACGGATGGCATGAGAGTCGACGAAATAGTTATAAATGTAAGCTCATACTTGTTCAAAGAAATTTCGTGCTTGTTGACAATCATCATTTCGGTTAACGTTTTTGTATTTCAGTTTCAGGAGTACAGTATTTCGGAGGAGCACTGCTATCCAACAATTTTAAAAGCTATAAAATCAATTTTTGCACATCTTCTTGATTCTGAGATGCAGTTCTACTTTCTAAAATTCTTCTGGAAGCATTTTTGGTCAGTTAATCATTACTTGCGTTTTCAAAAATTTTCAAGATTCACTTGATTTTTTTTAAATTATATTTTAGATTCTGTGGTTAAACAGTAAATGTATGAGAGCAGCAGGATGCCTTAGAATTTTACAACACTCTTTCTGATTCCATAGATGATCTTAAGAAGTTAGATGAGCAGCCTATTTGTGAGAATTTATTTGGTGAACGTTCTCGGTGATCAACAGATTTGCAAAGACTGCCCACGCAGATATTACATGTTTCTTTGCTGGAGCTATTTCATGTTCACGTAATTCAAGATTTAATATTTCTTTCTTCACCTTGTCAATCGGAGAAATTTTATGTTCGAAATCGGATGTATTGAAAATAACTTTTTCCTCTCACTCATTGTTTTTGTTTTTTTTCCTGTTGTTTTTGCTTGAATACATGATTTTTGATAAAATTATCCAGATATCAACGCAACGAGTTGCTTACATCAATTTCAGTTGAGTGCGTCTCATAACAAACTCCTGATTTGCTTAAAGAATATGTGAAAGGAGATTTGTTGAACAACGACTCCATTTCGAGTTATAGAATTTGAAATTCAGCTCAAGTATTCGAGTTTTCTGCGAAGGAAAACAGGAGCAAAAGCTGCGTAATTTACTTTTTTCTTTTCCAGAAGTGCCGTTTTATATCTTTTGGAGAATTCGAAGTGCAAGAAGTGTGAGGATCACACTTGTTAATTAATAATCAGCTGATAACTAAGATTGAGGATCATGTTTTATAGGTTACAGCTTTGAAACGATTATGAAATTAACTGATTTTACCCTTACATTTATTTTTCCCTTTTTGGTTTTGATTTGTTTCTGTTTAAATCATTATTTATTATTGAGCAAGATCAAATTACAATTGCAGGTACATCTGAAAGAGCATCACTAAAATGATGTTTATGGTACTACTGGTACGTTCACATGAAAAGTTAAGCTGACTGATGATCATCTTTCATTATGATAAGCCTATTGCTAAATGCTGGTATTGATATTGATGATGAAGTCATGTATTTAACATTAAGGGTAGTGACATTGATGATGAAACCATATATTTAACATTAAGTGAAAATGTCGTAATTAGTGTTCTTTTAGTAACTAATTGAGAATATGTCGTCAAATATCAAAATGATATCACAACTCCTTACCGCTTACCATTCTTGATTTCTTTAACTACTTGTATTTGCATCTGACAATAATTCATTTCCTTTTCAATTTTGCAAAAATTTCTATGCAAAATATTAAAAATCACTTAATGAGGTACTAATCGCTGTTGGTAGGAAATTTTACTGAATTTGTTTTTTTTTTTTTGCTTTTATCTGTATTTATGTGCTTCAATCATTATTAACTATTAATTCGTTTAATTAGGGAAAAAAAATCCTTTCATTCGTACATTTGACTGTTGTATGATTACAATGAATTTTTCAAATTGGCGATAACTCAACACCTTCTTAATGGTATATATTTGTTTTTTGAAATAGAAAACAAACCAAAATATCATATTCAATGAATGATAAACAAAAAAAAGAAGTAGCGAATTATCATTTTGAATTAACAAAAAATTATCATTATTA